CTTTTGAACATCATTTCTCCAGAACTACTTGGTGTTTTTCTGTGCTGCATAAGTAACCGGCATAACTTCAGATTGAGTGGTTGTGGTTCATCCATCATGGCACGTAGTTTTTATTTAAGTATTTGTACATATCTTTCAGCTTGTCCGTTAGTTGAGGGATGATAGGAAGCCGTAAATTTATATTCTATACCGTTTGATTTAAAAAATTCCAGTATTTCAGAAGATTTAAATTGCCTGGCATTATCAGAAACAATTTTAATTGGCAATCCAAATCTTGCGAAAGTATCCCTTAAAATATTAATAGTTGCTGTTGAGGTGATAGAATTTGTTGGAACAGCTTCAAACCATTTGGTGTAAGCATCCACAATAATAAAAAAATTGGTACCTAAAAATGGCCCGGCATAATCTATATGCAATCGTTGCCATGGTTCTTTGGGAAATTCCCATGGATGTAATGCAACCTTCACAGGATTATTACGTATTAGGGAACACTTTCTACATGATTTGGCTGTTTCTTCAATGTCTTTGTCGATTCCAGGCCACCAAATGTAGCTTTTTGCTATAGCTTCCATCTTTACTACTCCAGTATGGGCTTCATGTAACTCTTGCAAAATGCTCTTACGAAGTTTTGTCGGAATAATCACTCTAATGCCATAAAAAATACATCCATCTTGTATCGAATATTCATGAAGGGAATGTATATATTACCTTTTCCAGACTGAACTTCTAAAAATAATTTCCTGCATTCAGTATCTAGTTGCGTTTCTTTTCTTATTTGATCTTTCGTAACAGGAATTGAATTTAGTTGATTTAAGTAAAATGCTCCGTCCACATCAATTTCTTCCGACATAGGTTCATCAGTGGCAGACCTGGATAAGTAGTCAGCGTTGGAATGTTCTTCAGTAGGTCGAATTTTAATTGTGTAGTTGAATCCTGCTAAGAAATTTGCGTAATATACTAATCGTAAAGCTGTAGTTACTGGAAGGTTCTTCTCTGGATGCAATATTCTTGCTAAAGGTTTGTTGTCTACTATTAGGATAATTTTTCTACCATAACAATATTGAAAAAAATTTTTAAGTCCTCAATTTAAAGCAGAAGCTTCTTTATCAAGCTGACTGTAATTCTTATCTGCCTTTGTTAGTAATCGTGAAGCGAAAGCTACGGGTCTTTCAACATCATTCGGCATAATATTTGATAAAACAGTGCCAAAGCCTGTTGGTGATGCATCGGTTGCTAAAGTAACAGGAAAATTGACATTAAAAGGTGTTAACACTCTTGGACTTGTGATGATATCTTTCAGTTTGATGAATGCAGAATTACATTTTGCTGTCCATTCGAATTTAACATTTTTCCGTAACAAATGATGCAGTAAATGTAATCTTGTAGCTAAGTTCGGAATAAATGAATGGTAATAATTAATTAGACCAAGAAAAGTGCGGAGTTTGGTAATGTTTTTGGGTGGTAAACTTTTCGAAATAGCCTCGATCTTTTCTTGCATTGGATGTAGTCCTTCTTTATCAATGGTATATCATAATTAGGAAATTTTATTTTTGAAAAATTGTCACTTTGTTTCATTTAGATGTAATCCACTATCTCGTAATCCATCAAAAAAAGTCTTCAAATTAGTTCAGACGGTACTTTTTGTAAATATACAAACTCTTTCTGTTACAACTATTATACTATCTCTAGTATTTACATGAATAAATCTACGATAATATTGCTAAATTAAAATAATAAAAACACAAATATGTTTATATTTTTTGAAATAATTTGAAACAGAAAAGTAATAAAAATTGAAAAAATAGTAATCCATAAAAATGTACTCTTGAAAATACTAAAAAAATCGTCACTTTTTAAAATATTTGATTAATTTTAGATCTGCCAAGCAAGTATATGGAGTTAATGCGATTTTCCATGAATAACTTGAGAAAAGCAGATATTTCCACAGTAAACGGAATAATTACACATGAACATAAAGAATTTTGCATTGTTTATCACACATTTGAAGTAAATAAAGAGGTCGATAACAAGTTAAATTTGATAAAGAATTTTTAGAGGAAATTTTAATTTGTGCATCTCCATTATTGTTAGGGCTTATGTATATATTTTTTATTATTTGTAAATAGTATTTTTACTTCATTTATCTTATTCAGGTACTTTTATTTTTTAATAATAGGTTAATATATAAAATTTTCACAGATTTTACAATTTTGTTTATATACAATTAATATAATCTATGAAATGGATAAATTAATAAAAAAAAACAATTAAACAGTTTAATAAATTATTAGGTATTTAGTCTTACAAAATGAGTTCTTTTAAGTTAATAATACCACTAATTCAGACAGAAATGTAAAAGGTTTATGTAAGCTACACTTTCCTTCTCATAAATATTCTTAAAAACACTGTTGGGCAATCCTAAATATACTTTTGCTTTATTTTCAATTATTTTGGGAGTTCATTGGTTTTGAAGATCCTGCTTATTATTATTAAGTCCTTCTGAATCAGATATTAAAGATGTTTCTTCTGATTCAGACCAAACTTCACTATCTTTAAAAGTTTCAGGAGGTTCCGAGTTCCGAGGGAGGTTTTGCAGAAGGGGTTTTAGGATATACACCTTTGAAGTTATAGTAGGTTGATTTTAAATTTCCCGAAGAGGGAAGAGGGCAATGTCAGAAATTGTTGCTGCATCTTGAAGATCCGGTGTATTTTCATTAAATAGAGATGAAAAACTCCCCTAGTAGAAGGTTATTTTCCAGTCAACTTTTTAGAACACATTTTTTTGTATTCTGTTTTTCTTTTTTGATAGAATCAGTGAGCTGGGCTCTTGTGTGGTGAATAACAAAAACTGTGGAGACATTATATTTATGTATTTTAAAAAATAATAAATAATTCTAATTCTAATTTGTGTGGTACCTACCCACTTCTTATATGTAAAGGTTTATTTATCATTTAAAAAATTTTCAAAATAATCTGGTATCTAAAAAAAAAGAGAAAATTGTTACTACAATGGTAGATAATAAAGAGTATAGATACAAACCTCAAAATAATTTAGCTGTTGCTTGAAGCGTTTTTGTGTAATAATAATAATATAATTTTCTTCTTTTCACATTTCTGGCAACACTAATACCTAAATATTTTTAATAATGAAAGTAAAATGTAAATCATTATCACATCTTGGGAGGAAACATTTTTTTCGTACTCATAATATTTATAAAAACATCAAAATTAAATAAATATCGATTGATACAACACACAAATTCTTAATTGACAGATGACACATGCAGTGCTGTCGCATTGCCATTTTCTTGTTTACCAGTTGTCGTTTTTTTAAAACAATGAACCTATAAATATGGTGAAAGTTTAAACATAAATAATACTTTTAAAAATATTTGATATTTTATATTTAAACGATATTTGTTTAACAATATTTTAGAAGTCTAAAAGTAAGACGGGGCACACAATCGAACGTATATTACTTTTCGTATACCGTCTAACTAGCAACGTTGTGTGGCTAGTTCCTATTGGTCTATTCCCGGTGACGTCATAAATTTTAAAAATTAATAACTAGCTTTATTTTGAACTGTATTATTCATAAAAAATTATTTTAAAATTTTTAAACATACCCCATTAATCACTGATCTGTATTATTTTACTGGATAGGATATAGGCTATATTTAACATACTAAAAAATCGTTCCACCAAGGAGACCGGAAGTGCAACAATGCTGGCCGATTTGGGCAAATTATGGTGGGTTCACAGAACTGAAATTTGGGATAATTTGACATACCTAACCTATAATTTGATTAGTTTTTCTTCTTATTCTTCTTCTATTCCTTTTGCGGGCGATGTCCTTCGGGAAATTTCACCCATGTTTTGAATTTTTATGAAAGAAAATATAAAAATGGAAACGTGAAGCATATTGTGTCTTCAGGAATGAACGTTTATTGTTTATTTCATATTCTTTTTACTTTGTTTTCTACAATAAAAACATCTCATCGTAGCTTGTTGACACAATTAAATGACAAATGTGATGACAAATGGAAATAGAGGTTACGTTAAATAACATCCGGTCCGCCATATTATTTGCCCAAATCGGCCAATTTTTCGGAATGTTTTTTAGGGGGCTATATCCTATCCAGTAAAATAATACAGATCAGTGCCATTAATACATAAACTGCTTTTGGGAAATTAAATGTCAAGAATTGAAGTCAGTTTTGATTTGATTTTGTTTCTTATTCACCTTTATAACTGCATGGAAAATCAACATTACAGAAGTTATTGTTAATTTAGGTAATGTCTACATTTTTTTTGCCAAATTACCCAGTTTTTTTAGCAGTAAATAAGATTGTGAGACAATTTTTTCCATATGCTAAACAGTGTGGAATAATATTTTGGTACTATTTATGGATGTGTACAAAATTGCCTACATTGACGTTTAAAAAACATTACCCACAAAATATCTGATTTTGTGTAATGTAGTGAAAAAAAAAAACAATTTTAAATCCTGATTTAATATCTAAATAAAGTAAATAAACCTACTTAAAAAAATAATTACCTAATAAATACATTGTAGACGTAAACCCCAGTAAAAACCTGTCAAAGTAGGCTACAACCTTGCACTAAATAGGCGGCGTCTAAACCAGCGGTGCCGGAACGCCGCGACGCTCCGAGGCGCTCAAAGCTCCCCCTACTCCTCCCACGTGCGGTCTTCGGCCACCGAATTTGCATCCAGAGCGCTTTGGAACTTTGAATACTGTTCGTCACTGTCCGCTGTCGATATTGCACGCGGGTGTGACTCAGGGCACTCTTACGAACCGATTCTAAACGGCGCGAGATATTTTACGGACATATTTTGTAAATATTCGGAGGATTGTTTGGAAAATAGTGACTGTTTGTAAAAAATAAATGATGTGTGAAATGAGTGCGCGGTCTTAGAGTGGTTGGTTTTTAATTTGGATTTTTTTATTAATCGGACTTTTTGTTTTAATTCTTCTTTAATGATTATGGAAGAGATTCCGGAAGCGCTTAACTTTACGGGCCGAGGAGGAGGTAGTTTGGGTGCCGATCATGGACTGACCGCGGTAAGTTTGTTTTTGAAGGATAACTATTTGTTTTTTCTGATAAATATTTTTTTAATTGAGAAATAATAGAAATAAAATAGTAATCTATAATTGGTCATTGACCCTATAATTTTTCGAAATCTTTTTCCAAATAGCCATGGATGCCCCAAGGGAGGAGAGTACTTTCCTTTTGGATAAATGGTATACTTGGTTAAAAATTATAAAGTTCTGAATAAAAGCATCCACTCCATCCTATGACTAGTTTTTGATATACAGGGTGTTAACTTTGCAAATTGGTTATGTCTAAAAAGCTGCACTTCTTAACAAAGTAGATAGGTACCTTTTTTTTTCTAGGAAGAATCTTCTTATTACTATTTGTCAGAATCCTTTAAAAATATACCACATATGTAAATAAATGTAGTAGAAATGTGGCAAAATTTTGTTTAAAACGAAATTGCTAAAAAATATATCTGTATACGGAAATTTTTTTTATTCTATATTTTAACTATAGGCCTCTAATCCATTTTTATTAAACATAATTTAAAATCATTGAATATTCCATATACACGAGTATATATAGCGAAATAAAAGAAATTCAAAAGCCACCAGTTTTCTGAAAATAAAAAGATTTTGTAATTTTTATAAGGTGTTGCAATGAGTTTCAGTTATAAACAAGATAAAATACGTGAACATTATCAAGATTGAAATATTATTTAGGTATATACCTAATTGTAGAGTTATAAAAAACTAGACCTAGAAAAATCTTTATAAATGAACTAAGACGTCCATATAATAGATTATTCATATTATACGAATCACAAAATTAAATAGGATTGAATATGACAACGATGCAAATATGTTGACATAAATTTTTCATGAGGTATTTTGTTTAACGTTTTCGTGGAAAAAATAATGATAGAAGTTAGGTTCTATAGTAAAAATAGTGCTTTCTATTATAATATGAATAAAAATAGCAAATAACACAATTTTTAGAATCTAATTTTTATTAAAATACTATAAAAGTAATTTATTTCAATAATCTAGTGATAAAACTTTGTAATTCGAGTATAAAGTTACAAATTGGCTATTTATGAAAAGGTTGTAATTCTTAAAAAAGTACATACTATGACAATAATTTTTCTTTAATTGGGACTAAATTATATGTACATTTCTATATAAAAAAACAAATTTTTAATTCTCTAAAATTCAAAATTAAAATTTTTACATATCATGAGCTTTTTTTAAAAAAGGGCCACATAACATTTTTAAGAAAATAAAGTTTTATTTATGTTTTATTAGGATTTTATAAAAGCATAAAAATTAATAATTATTTTATTACAGTTATTTTTTTTGCTAATAGGACTGCAGGATAAATTTATCTTATTAGGTACTTGGTTTTATAGATTCCTCCAAATCTGTTTAAGAAAACTAGTTTATCCTAAAGTAAACTATGCTTTATCGCTGTCCTGTAAGGGTTAATTAATAAGTAATTTTAGAACTATTTAGTTTGAAGATACTCCTCAGCAGGTATGTTTGGTGCTAAAGAGGCATACTTTTTAGCAGTTATCTTAAGTAGGTTTTAAAACTTAATTTTAAAAAGTGTTTTAGGATTATACTTTAAATTAAATTGATCCCAGAACCTTTTAGGTACATTTTCTACAATTTTACAACATAACTCTAATAATTTATTTAATCTAGTAAACGATAGGGCTCTTTTAAAACTACATTGTTTTAATGAGAACTAGTTTGTTTTAGAGCATAACCTAGCTTTTCAACCCAATCACATTATGTTGACGTTGAATGATAAATTGTTCAAAATAAAGATAAGTGGTAATTTCCATAAAGAATGAAAAAAAAAATGTATATGTTTCTCCTTCTCCTCAGTGTTTAATAGTTCATTGTGTTCCATTGTTTAACAAATATCAAAACATTCGTAGGCTCCTAATATTCTGGAAATGATCAGTGAAAGAGAAAAATGGTTAATATATTATTGCAAATTTTTATATTTTGAATAACTTGTTCGTAGATTAAATAAGAAGCTCAAGAGTGAGGTTAGGTTATGCCCGTCTGATTGAACTTATGAATGTTTTATTGAGGTTTTCGTTTTTACTATTGTTTTAAGAAACGCTTTAAAATATGTAGCAGGAGCTATTTAAAACTAGAAAGTCCTAAAAAGTATTTTTTTTTGCTTTATTAGTTTTATAAGCTAATGTCCGTTTTAAGGTATAGATAGAACACAATGAGGAAATCCTCCATTTTAAATATGGGCGTTGCTGTTTAACCACATATCATGTAAAATACTACAGGTACAGGTCTACTAGACCTGTACCTAAAGGATATTCAAATAAATTATGGTCAAAGTTCAAATAATTCTAAAATATTTCGATTTTAGTAATGGCGTATTTTGTGTACAAGAGACAGTGATAGTGTTTCAATGACAACAGTGTGCCAATGACAACAATGTACCAATGAGAGTAGATTTATTATTTATTATTGCGTTTACTGCGTTTAACCACATAATGTCAAATATATCTAGGTACAGCTAATTTCTTTTTAGGGTATATAAATGTAATTTATATTGGAATATATTATGATATAATGTTATACAACTCCTGCCCCACCTAAATTAATTTATGATTAAACACAAAGTTTGTTTCTGATAGTCCAGTAAGTAGTAGGTATGCGCAATTGAAAATAGTTTTCTGACGGTGATAAGTATCCATATTCTACAATAGGATTTATATTGACGGTTAAATAGTCACTTCCATGAAATAATTTGAAAAATACAAAATGTGATATTTTATATGAAAAACATATCGAAAACAAATGTAATCATTTTATAGTGCTATATATATACGATATTTACAATGTTATTTTCTATTAAATAACTTCTGGTAAATAGATTAGAATCCATATAATAATCCTTTTTTCATGTATATTTCATATACTGTAAGGCCCATCATTTATTACGACCCACCTTGCCCACTTTGAACAGTACATTGGAGTGTGTTTGAAAATTGAAGAAATAACAAGTGTAATTAAACAAATTAAACATACACTATATAATAATTAATTTCTAATATGGCAGTCTTCCCAACATGTTTGCAAAATCATTCTGTCAAAGAGTATCTATGATAAAACAGAATAAATCTAAACATTTTAAAATTTAATTTTCTTAAAACTGATTAGTTTTGTAAAGTTTTTATGCCTATCCTACTTATTATCATAATCTTAAAAATGATTTAACAATGGTTTAATAAAATTCTTAATATACTCTTACGGACTTTGTCTTAGGTCTAATTAGTTTTAAGATATTGTTTTAAAAATACTCCTAAGAACCGTTATAGGATTCTCCCTTTTACTCTTAAAGCAGATTTATAGCAGCCTTAAGGCTATCTTGCGGATTCAAAAGTCTAATCTAAAAATGTTACTTGGGGGGCGAATATCTAGTTGGTGTATAAAGGCTATAGAGCTGCCTAACTGCCAAGAAACTCATCTATATTCAGTTGCGTGCCAAGGTCTTCGGGCTCTCCCTTTTTCAATTTTTTTCAAGGGCCCCCTCTTCATCAAAAAAATTAATATACTGCCTACACTGGGTGACAACGAAACTACTGTCTACGGTGATATTTCAAATTGGTTTATAGACTTTTTGAAGAATAAGACTTCTAATTAATAAAATTCATAGCGTCATTAACATAACAAATTCCATCTACGAGCCCTAACAACTATATGTTCGGACGACGTAAGAAATTTAAAAAAATATATTTATGTTATTTTAAACATTTTTTTTTTCGATTTTCCTGAGTAAAAAATCAAGTCACATACTCTTTACTTAACATAAAATCTGATCGCAAGGAAATACTTTTTTATTTTGTATAAACTACATAAAAAAGTTACAGAATTTGATCGAATTTGCCAACAAATAAATATTCGGACGCTAATCTATCTATCTATTTGAAATCAGTAATATGCATGCATTTACTGATAAATCTAGTGTGCTTTGGTCAATAGCTGTTCAGTTAAAGGTTTATCTGTCAAATTTTGATAAGGTCAACTCGGGGAAGTGCATACCTTCAATTTCAAAGTTGACTTTAAAATCAAGATAAATACTAGAGATCATCGTACTAAGATTAGCATACTAATATTTTTACAACCTTAAGTAATGATAATCCGAAAGAATTTTTTACCTAAAAATTTGGATTTATTACAAAAAAAAAAAAAAATTGGTCGCAATCTCACAGAAATGCACTTACCCCAGTTTATGGGTCAAGTGCATTTCAGACCTCTTTCTTTCTATTTAGATGATTATGATGATTATCCGAGGCAAGAGCAAAAATATGAAAAATTTCGAATCGGTCAGTTTCTGCAGAACTTAATTATCTGTAATATTAAGAAAGATATAGTCAAATTAATATTTTGGTTTTAAATCTTAAGATTTTATTAGAAAAATTATTAAACATAAACTTTTAGAAAACATTTAGAATACAAAATAACTGTGGTAGATACTTTTAACATAACAAATATTTTTTCTACGACTGGCACAGGGTCCTTAAATACATAGCGGCCTTTAGAGCGCTTTCACACGAAGATACTGTATAAGAGATACGCGTATCCGAGATTCAGGCTGACCATACATTCAAATGGATCTATTCACACGGTACTGGCGACGCATACAGTATCGCGATACGGAATTTCTGTATCCTGGCACCGTCAGCCGTGGACGCTGAATGCGTATGCCGCATACAGAATTACTATTACGATATATGGACCTTTTCAGACATGGATACTTTTGCAACGGAGATTATATCATAGGCGCAGGATTTTTCAATGGTAGGTAGGTAGGTATCCTGAGTGCATTTAGTTTAATAATTTAATTTATTTGAGAAAGGATTAAATTAGATGCACGAAGAGTTTTTTTAAAATTATTTCACGAATAAAAAATTAGCCTAAACTACGGAATTTTTATATTCCTACTATTAATGTACTCTACAGATGCATTTGCGTGTCAAACTCGTACATTT